TCATAAGATGAAAGAACAGAGTTTACTTAGGCTAAAGATGTTTGTACATGCCGGTAAAATGAGAAGACAATAGAAATTGAAAAACATTTTTATTTGTGTATGTAACTTCAAATTTAGAACACTCAGAATCAGTATGAACAAGAACTATTTTCTGACAAAGATTTGAAATTGGGGAAGTGAATTACTCTAACAGGTGCACATCAACCTCTCCATGCAATTTACATCTGTATCTTATGCAGTGAAAAAATGGGTTACACAGCTCCATAACTGCAGTATTTTTAACACTCCATTTTGCAGTCTCAGAATACTTTTCAATTAAACTGATCCACATGTTTAAAGATGAGAAATAATGTGTTTACATTGTAAAGCTGAGTCATAGCTAATAAATGCACATTTCCTTCCATTAATAAAATCTGGAACAATTTATGGTAAACAAAAATCTATCCACAATATCAGTAATCTAACAGTTCACACTTTTACTGAACACTTCCTGTGAGCCAGGCCCCGCAGTTAACAGCTGAACATGCAATTTCACATTCAATGTGGAATAGGAAGTGTCACAGGTTTGCGTGTTTTTCACAACTGATTATGATGGCCACGATGACAGCATGCACTAAGCGCTGTCCAACCAGCCCTTTACCTGGCATTGTAGCCAGCAAGATCCGCTAGCAGCTCACAGTGCTTGCGTGCACAGTTTTAGAATGTTACATGAATACTCAGGCCCTCCAAAAACAAACGTAACAGGACTAAGCCTTTACTACTCAGACACATCTGTAAGACCCCACAGGGACAAGGACAGTAGCTGTGATCTAGGTCTGCACTAAAGCTGCCTTTTCTGGGACTCAGAAGTGCCCTTCCAGGCCTAACTGCAGAAGGGTGGCCTCAGCCTCCTCCTCCTCTTCCTTGGCTTCCTCCTCACGGATCTGCACCAGCAACTCAAAGAGGTTTGGGGCCGGCCCTTCCCCAGCCCCATTAAGCCACAGCTGCCTTCGGATGGCCCCGCTTTGGTTGGCCCCGGCAATGACCTGCTCTAGACGGGCCTGGTTCACATTATCTTTATCAATGGCCCCCTTCTCCACCATCTTCTGTAGCAGAGGCTCCAAACGAATGACATAAGCAGACAACTTTTCTCCCGGGTTCTGATAAGTGTTCAGAAATTTGACCTGGGCATCCCTAGAGCTCTCAACGCTCCCAAACACCTGCTCAAGCGCCTGCAGGCATTCGGCAGTAGTTATCGCGGGGTTGTTGGTCTTGAGGATGCGAATGACATCAGCGGCGGGGCCTCTAAGACTCTCCATCAACCGCCGCCTCTTTTCTGTATCGGGTACCTGCCACTCCTCTAGGACCTCATTAGTGTGCTCCAGCCACGGATCAAAGGTTTCCTCTCCAGGCCCTGGGATGTCCCTCCCCGAGAAAAGTGTCAGCTTCTTGTACCAAATGGACTCAACAAGAGGCTGAATAACATTATCCAAAATATAGTTTAGCATCTCTGCTGGCATCTCTGGGACCGGGGTCGGAGTAGGGTTCTGAAACCCAAGGACACGGGCAACATCCTGCACCGTCCAGCCTTCTCTAGCTAGGAAGAGGTGCAATCTTTCTAAAAATTCAGCATCGGAAGTCGGGGGCTTAAAGAACACTTTCCAGACTCCTCCTTTGCCCGGCATTTCCCTGGGGATTGTGGCGTAATCGACAGCGCCAGTGAGCTCTAATAAGGCTGCTTTCGCATTTTCTTCCCTCCAGAACATTCTCCCAAGCACTCGGTAGGGCACCTGGGGCATCGCAGCCTGGAGGGTCTCTTCGATTTCAGCCTCATCACAGTTCACTGGGATGCCCCAGACCAACAGAGCTCTCTGGGAGTTCACATCCATTCCCCGACACCAGTCTTCCAACAGTATCATCGCCATTTTCTCAACTATCAAGACGCCAACTCTACCAACAGACAGTGGCTCACCGTGCTCCTGGCCTTAGAACAACGCCAGAGACTCCCCCCAAGTAGGCCCAAGGGAGGCAAGCTTCACGCAGTCACGATTAACAAAGACACAGAGTCCTGATCTCGCCCTTCCCTGCCCCCACAGTCAGTCCGTGGACGCACTCGGAGCCGAGCTCGGGGATGCTGAGGCGGTCACGCAGCCGTCGCCATCTTGCGTCTGGGTCCGGATCCGGGTCCGCTGCCAGCAGCCGGGGCGTCGCGTTGTCGTGGAGCGGGCAAGGAGCGAGGACGGGCGGCGAAGGCAGGCGCGATGGGCCGAGAACCGCCGAGGTGTAGTCGCGGGGCGTGGTCGCCGGACGCTCGCTGCGGCTACCGGTCTGGCGTTCGCGGTCGCAGCCTGGTCTTCCGAGGGCGAGGAGCGGTCGTTTGGGAGACCAGGCACAGGCAGACTGTGCCGAAGTCGCGGCGGCTGCGGGCCAGCGGAGAGCGGCTTCTTGGTGGGAGCAGGGACTCCTCTGGGCGGGTGGCGAGGACCGCCGAGGACCAGAAACGAAGGCAACAGAAGAGCAGGAGAGCCGGAGAAGCCGGGCTGGAGACAACAGAGGAGAGAGTGAGCAGCGGCGGCCGCGACAGTCTGCAGCGGCTCAGGCGCTGCGCAGCTACCGGAACGTCGTGTCCTACCCGCAACCTGCCGCGACGTTACTGCAGCAGTGAAGGGTGGGGCCAGCCCGTGAGCGGCGTCTGCCCCGCCCCGCCACGCCCCCGCGGCGGAGCCGCTCGGGTGTCGCCATGGCAACGGTGTCCCAGACGGCGCGAGACTTGCCTGATCCGGCTGCCCACAGCGGGCGGGGCGGGGGGGATGGGGGTGGGGCGGAATCGAGCGGTTGCCATGGTGCCAGCGAGGGGCCGGGGCACCTGTTTCTCTGATGGCGCATTTTCTTTCTTTCTTTCTTTCTTTTTTTTTTTTTAACAGAGAACAAAGACTGCTAAGCACCGTATTTTAAAAATAACCCAATCCCGGAGTGAATTCAAGATGATACTGTTGGAAATGCATCCCTCATGGTGGACTTGTCTACTCAGATTGCTCAGCCAGTCCACCCTGCACGTGAAAATATCCTCAGAACCCTAGCTTCCCTGTTCCCCCGACCACACTCTGCACCCTGCATATTTTACCCCCATGGAGCCAAAATGTCGGAGTGTGCCATTTATGTATATTTGTGTCAGATACGGAGTTGAGACTTTTTCTTGTCTAAAATTTTGTAAAAAAAGATGTTTGTCTATGTCTACTCAGTCATCTTTTAGCCAGGCAAACACTAATGTTACTTCCCATTTCCAGACTGGCATCATTGACAATAGGCTGCTAAAAGAGAATCCCTATGGTTCAAAAATGTTGAGTGATCTCCGTGCAAGCAAGACAAGGCCCACTTACATCAATCCCAGATGGTGAAAATCCCAGAGAACACAGCATTCAACTCTGAATTTTTAAAACCTTATTTAATAAAAGGTTTAAAGATACAGAAGAACATTCAAAAGTAAATAAGTTACATAGGTACATTACAATCACATCAGCAAGATTCTTTAGTGTATTAATTTTTTTCTTATAAAAAGCACACAAAAAATAAAATCTTCAGTCTCTATCACAACTGTACAGCAAAAGAGGTAATATTTATATATATGTACACTATTTTAATATGTAACAGTCTTTTAAAAAATGGTGCCACAGGCAGCAAACACAAAAAAGGCAGTGTCTGATCATTTGTTTCAAAATAAAAGGAATATACTTATTTATATGCTATTAAAATATTTGTACAATAATTACAGACTGTCAAGGCTGTTCCTGTGCTGTCCCCTCCAACAAGGCCTTCAACTTAGAGACAAATGAGGAAAAAGTGAAACAGCTGCAAATTGTTAGAGGCAAATATTAACATAGCAAAATGTGGGGAGGACACAATTGTTTTATAAAAATATGCCTACTTCCTGTAAACCTATGGAGTTAGGCTTGCCGGTCTGATAATAAATACCGTCCCAGAAAAGTAAGCCCCAGTGAAAACAACTAAACAGCTGAGGCTTGTGTATGTGTTGTATTCCTCCTTCATCTTAACATCTGGCACATGAGAAGAAAGAGGTTAGGTCACTGAGGCAGTTAAATATAGGCGATCCCTTTAGACATAAGCAGCAAAAGACTTGGTGTCGGGGTGGAGGGGGGCGCGGCAGAAGGGGTGGTGTGTACCTTAGCTGTGAGAGGGGCTGCTGAAGGCATGGAGGACAGTAATGACGGCTCTGCCTCCTTGGATGGGTAGAGACCTCAGAAATGGTCTGCAACACAGGCACTAGGTCAGTTTCCCACCCTTAGCTGAATGCAGATGGAGGCTGGGAGATGGATATGGTGAGATGGCATGGGGAGGATGTTAGAAATATCACTTCTCAAAGAGCTCTGAATAAAGGGAAAAAACAACAACAAAAGACAAGCCTAATGTGTTCCCAGGGAGAAAGCACCATTGAAGATAGACCTATGCCAGCTTCTATAGCTGCACCTTGGCAGGTCACTTGCCACAACTGCATCTGCCCTCTAAACTTTTTAATTTTCACACTTTATCCTAGACATGAATGCATCCTGGAGCATGGACCTTCCTAAAATATGGTGCCTGGCAGGATTAATGCAGAGAGGTACCATCTTGATTTTCCCCAATTACATTCATCTGGCCTGGTCTCTGTATGCTTAGAAGAGTAGAATCACTTTCTTATTTTAAAAGATTTCTGGCTGGGAGCAGTGGCTTATGCCTGTAATCCCAACACTTTGAGAGGCCGAGGCCCGCAGATCACCTGACGTCAGGAGTTCCAGCCTGGCCAACATGGTAAAATCCCATCTATACTTAAAAAAAAAAAAAAAAAAAAAAAAAAAAAAAACGAGAAAATTAGCCGGGTGTGGTGGCATGGGCCTGTAATCCCAGCTACTCAGGAGACTGAGGCAGGAGAATCGCTTGAACCTGGGAGGCAGAAGTTGCAGTGAGCGGTGATTGCACCACTGTACTCCAGCCTGGGCGACAGAGCAAGACTCCATCTCAAAAAAAAAAAAAAAAAAAGATTTCCAAGTACTAGATGTTACCATTGAACAAAAGGGTCTCATGTTAATGAAGGAGGTTTCTGTTACCATATGCCCATCAAAAGGGTCTCATGTGAATGAAGGAGGTTTCTGTTACCATATGCCCATAAAGGGGCCTGAAACCAAATATGGTTTGAATAGAAAAAACCTTGGGAAACATAAGTAGCACTTTGGGGCTAAGCTGCAAAGGCACTCGTATTATACAAATAATTTCGAACAGAACCTAAATTTGCTACTCCCCTGCTTCTAGAGGGTGTATCAGATTTTTGCTGTCTTGGGACACTGAGCTCATGGAAGCCTGTGGAAGAAACTAACCAGGAAATTGGGGATCTAGGTAGTCATCCAAGAGTGAGGGGGGGAAGAAATTTGTTACTTCCATAGGCGGGGTCCTGCAGAACCACATCAATGTATAAATGGATGCAGAAAAATACCTGACAGTGCATAGTTTCAAAACAAAACTCCCTCTCCACTCCCAGTTACTGACCGGATGCTTCTTGGCTTTCTCATAAGGAGCAGCAGTATGAATACTTTCTGGCTCCTTCCTAACATGTTGAGCTGTCATACACGCACTCACTTAGAATTTATTTTGCACAACTCAAATTGAAAAATCAGATCAGAAAAACAGCTCAGCCCCGCTATGGGACTGGAAATGAAGGGGCCTCCATAACCTCCTGGCCCTTTCACTTCACCCATGCCAAATATGGCTTCTTCAAGCCAGAATCCAGGCCCCATAAACAAAACTAGAATTCTGGCCTCTTGCCAATTCCCTCAGGCAAAGCACAGCCAGAGAAGGGGCAGCAAGAACTGCCTTTGATCTCCCTTGCTGACACCCTCCACCTTCCCACCCTCTTCCAGTGTTGCTATCATTCCTATTGGCAAGAGCTTCCAGAGCAACCAGGCAAGGGACCTTAGGGCCTTGGGAATTCAGGGGGTTGGGGATGGGGGATGTCAAGAAGATGCCTCCTTTTGGGATAAATGCACTTGGGCCTCTGAAAAGCAGGAGGCCCCTGGTCCCTGAGAGGATGTTAAAACTTAAATACTAAGAATAAATAAATAGCTCCCAAATGACACGAGTCAAGGAATGAAGGCTCCTGTCTAATTGAGTTAGGAGAACTCTTCCTCCCAGGGAAGGATCCAGAAATCTCCAGCATGCAGGCCTAGGGACTGGGCTGTGAATATCGACACTGGGTGGGGTGCCGTGGGGTTAGGTATAGCTGCTGAGGGCAGGGCAGAGGCGAGGAGGCTGGCCCCCAGGAGGAGCAGGCTGAGCCTCTCCCGCACCTGCTCAAGGGGGAGAACCCTTGGCAGCCTCCAGGACCCAAAGGTATTTGGCAAAAAAGGTGGGAAGCAGGAAGAGCCAGGCTTGTAAAAAGCTCTCTCCGGCCTAGCCCTGCAGCTTCCAGCCTCTGTACAGCTCCCTTCCCGGCAGCAGGATGAGTGCTTTGACAAGAACGTTAGCCCCTTCCCCAACGCTGAGAAAACTTTCTAGCCCCAGCAGCACCGCCGGCAAGCAGCAAAGGGAGAGTACCTGTCGCGGCCTCCCTCCCAGGGAGGAGGTGGCCACTCAGGACACTGTCACGGGTGCAGCTCAGGCAGGCCTGGACACTGCAGGGACAGCACAGGTGTCAGGCTCCGCCCCTTTTCGGAGAAGCCAGCATACTCCCTCCAAGAGTCCCTTTTTCTGGGGCTTGGGGCAGGGCCGGTGCAACCTTCAAGGTCCTCTGGGGAGGAGGAATACTGCTGCAACGGGGGTGAGCTTGTGCTTGGCTGGCCACGGTGGCTTCCTGGAGGCAGAGGGGAGGGGGGAGGCAAAGAGGAGGGAAGAGACAGCAGCAGAGATCGGAGTGCGAGAGGCGGCGGAGCCCCTCCCGAGAAGACCAGGACTCTCCTGGTCCAAGAAAGCAAGGTCCAAGAAAGCACGAAGACAACTTCCGACAGACCAAATGCAAAGAGAACTGGATCCTGCAGCCCTTAACGCTGCTCCCGGGGCCTTCATAAATAAAAGAGCCGTTTATTTCATTGTCTCATTTGTTTCACAGGGAAAAGTCCCTGCAATCCTCTCCTCACTCCCTCTTGAGGTGCCAGGGTGTCTGCGGGCACTGGTGTTGGTGCGGGAAGGGCCGGGCCCAGGAGCTCAGCCCTTGTCGCCCGCGCCAGCGCCGCTCTCCTCCTGCAGGGCCTGCTGGTGGGCCGCGGCAGCGGCAGCCTCCTTCTCCTTCAGCCTCAGCGCCGCAGCCTTCTTCTCCTGCTCCGCGTGGCTCTTCATGTGCGCACTGCGGCTCTTCACCTTGTAAAACACCCTGTGGACAGGTGGGGATTGCTCAGGACCGGCCTGGCCCATCCCGGGCCCCCCAGGGCGGGTGCTCGAGCAGCCCCATCCTTCACCTCCACCCCCACGCGGCGCAGCTCGGGCTGGTCCCGCTCTGGTCATTTTCTGAAAGCTGCCCCATGAAGTCACAGCCCTAGAAACCCGCTCGGCCAATCAGAAGAAGAGGCGAATGCCGCCAGCACTTCTTCCCCCTCCCCCGGCCCTGCCTTGCTGCGCACCAGCCCGCGGTGTCCCAGCTGGGACAGGGCTGGCCACCTTACCTGCCACATTTTTTACAGGGGAAAGTGTTCTCCTGATTCTGGGTCTTAATGAATGTCTCTGGTTTTTTCTTCTTCTCTGAAAAGGACAGTGCCCTTCGTGACTTCCCTGTCCCTTCCCTTGGCTTCTCCGAGGCCTGGCCACCGGCAGACCCAGGGGCGTTGGACTCGTGGCTCCGGAGGATGAGGATGTCATTGGCCTGGAGAGAATCAAACAAGGATTGCTGAGTGACCTGGGCGAGCGCGGATCTGGAATTCTAGAATCACAGGGAACTGAGGGCCTGAAAGGTCATATATACTCCTGCCAGTCACCTAGCATGCACTTGGGTCCTTCCAGGGATGGGATGCCCACTGCCTCCTCCGAAGCCCTCTGCGTCCTTGGTCAGCTCTACCGTTTACAAAGTTGCTGCTAGGGTAATTCTGAGGTGCAGCCCCAGCTGCAAGAGGCCTCCATGAGCCTGACAGGGGATCTTGGTGTCTGGGTTAATGAAGCACCTGCTGATATTTTCTGTCATTTAGTCCACTCATGCCCTGTTCTATAAACGAGATTCAGGACCCTGTGATGTGCCAGGTGCTGGGGACAAAGAGGTTGACACAGGCATCCCTGCCCTCAGCTGAGGGTCTGGTGGAAGGGACAGATGTACAGGTAGCTAGCTCAGGACACAGCAGTTCAGGGACACCAAACAGGGCAAGAGCAGGGATGAGAGTGCAGAGCAGGGGGAGGAGAGGGGGACTCAGCTGGGGAAGCCCCAGGTGGCCATCAGAAGTGGCACCCTCATAGGAAAGTGTCCACAAAAGTCAGCAGAACTCTGTAGGCGTGCAGGCGGTCAAGGCTCAGAAGTAGACACACAGCCGTGTGTTCACAGTTTATGGGAGTTCTGTAAGCATGAGTGTACTACACACATTTTTTAAAAAGACTCAGAAAGCAGCAACTCCCCCAATAAATCCCCTACCCTCCCTCCCCCTTCCTGGGAGAACTCTCCCTGGCAAGGAGGAGCTATGGCCAGTAGTCTTGCTTCTTGGCCTGTGATATGGTGGACAGAGCACTGCACTAGGGTCCAAGGACCTGCGGCAAGTCACTCAGCATCTCTCAACTGCTTTCCCCCGCTGCAGAGTGGAGGTTAACTCTGCAGTTTGAGGAATTAATGAGACAACGGAAATGAAAGCACTTGGCAGAGATCATGCCTGAGGGCCTATCATTGTCATCCCTATGGTCTCAGCTCAGTTTCATTCTTGTCAGGGACTCCAGCTCTCTAAGGGGAGCCCTGTCCAAGATACAACCCACCAAGGCTTCCTCAGTGTCCCACATGCCTACTGGGTTTTCACAAAATGGGTTTTCACAAAACCTTTTTCCCTCGGAATCTCAGATACAGAAGCAGTAGAGTATAAAAATTAATTGCAGACTCTGGAGTCAGGCTGCCTACTAGCTGTGTTATCTTGGGCCTCAATTTCCCCGTCTGTAAAATGGGAATAACAGTAGTACCTACCCATATAGGGTTGTAAGGATTAAATGAGTTAACAGCACAAAGTACTTCATACCCCTTCTTCTCTACAGATCTGTAGAATCAGGGTCCTGCTCTACCCTCCCTCTCACACCCCCAGACCCAGCTCCACCCTGCTTGCCTTGGGCTCAGCCCATGGCATTCACACTCACCGACTCATTGGCCTGTAGTGTCTGCGTGGCTTTGACTGCCGCTGCCCGCCTGCTGCGCTCTCGCCCCTCTTCCTGCTCCTCCTTCTCCTGGATCTCTGGCACCTCCTCCTCCCCTTCCTTCCTTGGCTCCTTCACCTCCCTTTTGGGTTCCAGCCTCTCCTCACTTGGGGACTCTCTTCTGGGAAGAGGCACCCTTGGGAACTTTTGGGAAGTCTATGGGGAACAAGAACAAGGGCAGTGAACCTAGAGCTCCATCTTGCTGCTGCAGCGCAGATTCTGACCCAGCAGGGGGTTCCACCAGCCCCTGCTAGTCCTGCTTGACTGGCTGGCTCAGCACATTCTTCTGTACCAGGACTCTGGACTCTGTTCTCATGGCATAGTAGGATGAGAGAGTCTCAAGCCCTGGGAGCACTTGAGAAAAGGCGAGGGGCATGGAGGGTGCATACCAGTCGCTCCCCACTGCCTGCCACCCGCCCTCCTAGGCAGATGACCAGGAGACATCTTCCGTAATGGTGTAGTGAGTCAGGCAGGAGCCTTGAGTTCCAATTCCAACTATCTTTGTAACACTTCCTGTAGCTCTACTACCTTCATACCTGCAAAATGGGCACCGAACCACTCCCTGTCTTACAGTAGCATGTCACCAAGCATGGACCTGCAATCCCAAAATGATGCTGGGTGGATATATGGAC